CTAAATAACATACTGAACCGAATTAATCGTTGTGAAAAGGGGAATATCATAGGTTTTTTTCAAAATGTATTTTGATTTATCAGCATATTCTACTTCTGAGTTATCGTCTACTCATATCAATAGTTTGAACACAAGGGTGACATGTTTCAGTCGGTATGGCAATTGCGAGGAAAATGAAACTTCTAAAACTTTATTACATTTTACACATTATAATAACTGTGATTATGTTAGTGTCACATTTATACTAATTTCTAATCAAATGTTTTCTGTGTAATTGCATATATTTCCTGTTACAAATGTTCATTTTTTATGTCTATTTGCCACTATTACTCGGACTTTGCCACTGTTGTAGCAAATAATCGGTTACCTTACTTATTTCTTATTTTGTAATGAAAATAGTGAGGAAAATAATATATAATATACCGGCTTATTATATCCTTACAGAATGTTTCGATAACATCTATATAAATAAATAAATATGAATATATATACATACATACATACATAACTATATATATATATATATATATACAATTCTTATTCTTATTTTCCCTTTGAAAGTAGATAGAGGAATAGCTATGTGAAGGTTCTTGAATCATCTATGAAATGCTGATCTGCTGAGGTTTATTTACAAATCCATTTGTGTTTTCATTGTGTACGTTCTTTAGGTGGTATTGATGCGTACGTAATATTTTTAGTATCCTTCTATATTTTGTAGCATTAAGATTTATTTGCAAAATAATTCTATCCACATTTTACTTTGAAAAGGTATTGGTTTTCACTTTGATAATAATTTATTTAAAAGTTTCGATCAGGGCAAAATGTGCTGATATAATTTTATTCACTATTTGACACAAAAGTCAAGAAATATATAGATAGATAATTTTAAAGGGTTACACATTTTTTTAGTTTGTTTCTTTGCTTTACTTAACAGCCAACGTCCTTGTATTTTTTATATATTGATTTGTTACCCTTTTTACGAGTCATAAAACAGATATGAGAGGTGCCTTCAAGCTCATTTTTTCTAATTAAACGTCACAATATATATATGCTTGTATATTTATCATATGAGGAAGCCTTTTTTCCCCTATATAGCTATCTACCAACAAGTGAATAAAGTTGAATAATGTATGTCTATAGGAACTTGAATTGATAATTATAGCCTCTTTTTTTGTTATTTTGAAGAATTGTACTTTCTGTAGTTGAAGTTTCTACCTTGATATGAGTTTGTCTTCTTGGCATCATTTTCATTTTTACTAACATAACTTTTTATCATCAGCCTCATTCTAATAATCATCAAACGGGCTGTTTGTTGACGCTTTGGACATCGCGGTATTATCTGGACTGTAACCTGTTTCAGTTTTTACCAAGGCTGGCGCAGATCTGTGGTACCACACGGTGTGGTATGAGGTACTGAGGGGTGATTGCAAACGAAAGTATGATGTCAGACCTCCTTTAGGTGGTATTTTGCCTTTGATATGAATGTTGTAGCTGAAGCTGGGAAGCCCAGCCTGTCAAAGGAAAAGGTTGCATGTACTTTGCCTTTGTCACAACCCAGAGCTCAGGATCCTGTAAGCATGACAAGGTGACCGGCCTCTTTCTAAGATTTGAGTTTCGTAGCTTATTTGAGATTTCCTATTTTTTTTTGTTTAAACACAAGGGGGGAAAAATGTGTGCACCTGAGAACTTTTTTTTGTATTTCACGTCCAAGAGCCAAGGCTAATACAAGTTCAGGAAAAAAGAATTGTATCCTGTGGTGTAGTGTTTACATTGGGCAAAATTCCTTATCTGCTATATGAATAATTCATTTTTGTTTTCAAATGGTTTTACCCTTGACTTTGATATTTTTGCGTCCTTGATTTAATCACCTTACATGCCAAAAAATTAGAAGGTATAACAAACAAGCTCCAAGCTAGGTGCAGAGGATTTTTAAAAAAGAAATCGTGATCTTTTGCCACACATTGATATTAGGGATTTTCCACATTATTACACATTGTTCCCTTGAAGATTACCTGCATCACCGCAAAGAAAGGAGCGGAGTGAGGAAGCGACGAAGTCATAGAGGAGAACCAGGGGGAAGTGAAAAGAATTGAGAAAGCCGTAGCTGCCATGAGCTCTTGCCCTAGCGTAAGCGAATTAGGGCCCCATTTCGAGTGTACAATTCGTTTACCTACGCCTGACTCTGTATCAGCTAATATTTTGTTTACCATCCTCAAGTACGAGCAAAGTCTGAGCGGCATAACAAAACAAGTGGATTTGTGTCAAAATGACACTACCTCTAGTACTGTTGTGATCGTGCTCCAGGGGGCGACAATGCGCTCTTTGCGTGTCGCTGTAAACTCGACGCTGGAACAGGCAAAATTAGTACTTCGAACTATGCGATTGTACCCACCGAATACTCAACAATGCGAAGCATAAAAGGTTATTTCGAGTGATTGTCAACATCTGGTGCTTCTATCATTTTTTTTATCCGACATTGCTAATTATTACTTGTGTTGTCCTTTTTTCCATCCCCTGTAACTTGCTCCTGGTGTCAATGGAGATGTGCAAGCTGCTCTCTTCCTATTCGAATAGATTATATTTGTCTTTCTATCTACATCTGGTATTTTCGTAGAAAAAGAATTTAAGCGAAGTAAAATAATTATTCAATTTATTCCTTATTTCAGCCAATCATAAAATATGTCCCTGAAAGACGTGAACACTAAGGCAACTGCTCTGGAGACTAAGCTTGGTGGGAAGCCGTTTCTAGGTGGTGCGAAGCCCTCTGCTGAGGATGTGAAGCTGTTTAATGACCTCCTCGGCAGCAACAACCTGAATGTGTATCGCTGGGTAAAGAATATCGCGACGTTCTCTGAGGCTGACCGCCGCTCATGGGGTGCACCGGTGAAGGTGAAGCCACTCCCGGAGGCTGGGAACCCTGTCTTTGACATTCCCACCAAGCCTGCTCCTGCTGCTGAGGTGAAGTCTGCCCCTGTCGCTGATGTGAAGCCCGCTCCTGCTGCGGAGGAGGAAGACGATATTGACCTTTTCGGTGAGGCGACTGAGGAGGAGAAGGCAGCACTGGAGGCAAAGAAAGCTAAGGATGCGGAGAAGAAGAAGGCAAAGCCTGCTCTCGTGGCAAAATCATCGATTCTGCTCGACATCAAGGCTTGGGATGACACAGTTGATCTTGAGGCACTTGCAGGTAAGCTGAATGCCATTCAACGGGATGGCCTTGTCTGGGGGGAACACAAGCTTGTGCCTGTTGCCTTTGGTGTTAAGAAATTGCAGCAGCTCATTGTGATTGAGGATGATAAGGTTTCCGGCGATGACTTGGAGGATATGATCATGAGCTTTGAAGATGAAGTCCAGTCGATCGATATTGTTGCCTGGAATAAGATTTGATGGAATATAAAACGTTAGAATTCTGTAGCAGCGAGTGATAACGAGAAGTATGTTAATGAGGTAAATATTCAGAATAATATGAAATCTGAACTTTTTATAAAAACTTAAAGAAAAATTAGGGGTAAAAAGTTAATAAATACAAAGCTTACTTAAGCATATAATAGTAAAGGTTGAATTCTTTAAGCAGCGAGGTAAAATCAGGAGTGGATTCAGATATTAGTAAGACTGTAATTCGTAGTTTTTCAATGTTGTCAAAATGAATCGAGACTATTCAGTGAATGAAACTTAATCGAGTTTTTTCATTTTTTTTTTGGCATATTCTAATTGCATTTCTTGTCTTCAAGGATATTTTTATCACGAAACACTTTACCATACAAATACTGAAGCTTTTTTTTGTGCTCAATATTTGTTTTAGGGATACCGACTAAGTAGACAACTAGTTTTATACATATCATTGTGAGCATACACATCTTTGTGCGTGTTAGATTAGTTTTTTTCTGTTTGCCTAGTATAGATTAGACGAAGTGTTTAACTATCTAACCGGACCTCTTTTTAATATTGTATCTATACCGAGATTCCTGCAAGTAAAGACGTGACAGTTTAGACAGAAAAATAACTTGAGCTATGCCGACGTTGACAAGCTCGCAACGGTACCGCAAGCGAGGTCGTTCAGCCTCCTTAGATTCTAATGTGTCTTCTAATAGTAACTCTGATTTCGCCACTACGGGAGGTAATTCATTAGTTAGCCCTGAGTCTAGCGTGCATGAGGTAAATAGCAGAGACCCTTATGTGGATAAAGCCATAAGTAATAAATCTCCTTCAAAGCAAAAATCGGCTATTGTTTCCTCAACGGCAGCCACTGCGAAACACCAAGCGCAAAAGGTGCCGCGTAGTGAAGTCGACATAGCTACATATCCAGTAACCAATGGTAACCGTATGTCTCCTGAGATAGTTCTTCAGGAAGACGAAAGAGATTCAATTCAACACATTGTGAGCTCTATTATTGGCCACTGGAAGAGTGGGTCCAAGTTGTTAAATGAGACAATCATTCGAACTATACTGCGCCATGTTCGCCCACTGCTCATGTCAGAACCGATGTTGGTGCGTGTCGATGCCCCTGTGAATGTGTGCGGTGACCTTCATGGTCAAATCACTGACCTAATGGAAATATTCAAGGCCGGTGGAGTTCCTCCAAATGCACGTTACTTATTTCTTGGTGATTATGTGGATCGAGGAAAGTATGGCACAGAGGTCATCACGACGTTGCTTGGACTAAAGGTACTTTTCCCATCGCAAGTCTATATTCTGCGTGGAAATCACGAGACGGACGGTATTTGCCGTGTTTATGGGTTCTTCAACGAGGTCAAGCGGCGTTTTAGCGTCAAACTTTTTAAAGAATTCACTGACGTATTTAACTGTTTACCGATCTCCGCACTGGTCGAGGGCATCGCGCTCTGCATGCACGGCGGAATTAGTCCAGATTTACAGAGCTTACGCCAGATCGAACGAATTCCCCGTCCTCTGGTTGTGGCTGACGAAGGATTGGCCTGCGACATACTCTGGTCGGACCCCCTCGAGGAAAGCTGCGGCTGGCTCCCAAGTGACCGTGGTGTGAGCTACACCTTCGGTGAAGGTGAGGTACGGAAAATGTGCGCGACATTAGGCATCGATATCATTCTACGTGCACATCAAGTAGTGGATAACGGCTACGCCTTCTTTGCAGGAAGACAGCTTGTGACGATTTTTAGCGCTTCTAACTACTGTGGCGAATTCACTAACTCAGGTGCGATGATGATGATGGACGAAAACTGTAAGTGTAGCTTTCAGATTTTTAAACCCCAATACGATTGAAACCAGAAGCAAGAGTATTGTAAGATGGCAATGTCACACGCATTTTGTAATTTTATAAACTCAGATAAAGTAGTAACTAAAACTAGTGTGTTGATCTTCAAGTGGCGTGTACTGAATGGAAAACTAATGATCGCTTTTATCAAGCAATCTAGAAGGCTTTTCCATGAGGGAATCAACTAGAGGTGACTTTCTCTCCCTCTATATGCACATATGCACATATGCATATATACATACATATATCCATATATCTATATATGGATATATGCTCTTTGCGCTGCAGTTATCAATTTAGAGGGTATAAAGATACGATAAAATTCGTGTTGAATATGAACCTTCTTTCACCCCTTTCGTTGCTCAAACAAATGATTAATAATATAAGTAGTGTTGTTTTATTCGCTGCTGAAGCGTACGAATTGTTTATAATCAGGAACGTAAATAATATTTTGGATATATGTCTCTTGCCGCTTTATATGATCGCACAAAAATATAAGTGCGTATTCATTCGTAAAGATGTATCCTCTTTTACTTTGATTGCCTTTTTTCTTACTTTCTTTTTCATCATTATTCTATTTTGTGTTTTCAGTGAGCCTACTCAGCAGTCATTTCAATGGCCGTGCCCTCGCGCAAGAATGTGCACCGCGCTCAGCGCAAGAATGTCAAGAAGCACCGCCCTGATATTATTGTGATTGACCTCAAGGACCATGTGCTGGGGCGTGCTGCGGCTGTAGTCGCCAAGCAGTTGCTCCTGGGAAAGAAGATCACCGTGGTGCGCTGCGAGCAGCTCAACATCGCGGGCACGGAGATTCGTAACAAGATCAAATACCTCCAGTTCCTCCGCAAGCGCAAGCTGACCAACCCCACGCTAGGTCCCTTCCACCACCGTTCCCCCTCGGATATCTTCGTGCGCACCGTCCGCTCCATGCTGCCTCGCTACACCAAGCGTGGTATGAAGGCGCTGCACTCTCTCGTCGCCTACGAGGGTGTGCCTCCGAACGTTGTCCGTACCGGCGGTCGCGTCGTGATTCCACGTGCGCAGCGCCACAACTGTTACCGCTCGGAACGCCCATACACCGTCCTTGGTAACATGTGCAAGCATGTGGGCTGGAAGTACAGCGGCGTTGTTGAGAAGCTTGAGAAGGCCCGTATTGAGAAGGCGCAACGCCACCACGATAAGAAGGACAAGCTTCGTCAGGCTTGGAGCGATGCTCGCAAGGAGGCGCTTCAGAAGATGCCCAAGCATAACGTCGAGGTCCTCAAGAAATTCGGTTATGCCTGAAAACGCTGATGAAAATGGATGACGCAGAAAGAAGTGCCGACTACCATCGACTACGAGAACTCTGAGTATGTTACATGATTAGCCTTTTATTTTTCTAAAGAAAACCGTATACATGCGCATGGGAAGGTGATCAGGTTTTTCTGATATACCTTTAGCCTTTCTTTGCGGTAGTGGTGTTATTTTTTTACATTAGATGAATATTCCTGAATGTAAGCTTTCCTGCCCTTCTTCTTTATCAGTTTTATTTTTGTTACCCCTTACCCAAGGCCTCAAGACTGACCACAAAAACATCAATAGAATACTCACATTTTAGGGTACAGTGCCGTAGACCTTTTACGTACAACTCATTCAATCTCCTCAATATCTTTGTATAGAAATCATATCCGATTTTTTTCCCAATGATGCGTGATACAGCTCGAGACCTGGCGGTTTCACGTTCTTCCACCTCAGGGTTGACTCGGACTCCCGGAGCACCTTATAGAAAGCTGACACCGGCGTTACCGCGACAGCCACCGCCTACTGCCGTTTCTACAAGTGGGGGTAGTCATTTATCGCGACTTACCATCAATAATTTTGCTACATTTCACGCTCGACAGAAGAAGCTTCCTCCAGACGCGAACTCAAAGGCAGCTGTGAACACGAAACTTTGGCAGTTCCCCGAACGGGTCTGCTTTAGCTGCGTCAAGTGCCGCCGTGATAATATTCAATCGGACTCGGTCGCAGTTGACTTGGTCAACGGGATTATTCTGTGTACCGCCTGCTTTACACGCATTATTCGTCCTCGAACGTACCGGCCTAGCAGAGTCGTGCCATTTCCCTCTCTACTGTCGTGGCTGAACTATAAGCCAAGCAAGGTGATGGAGGTTTCTGAGGATGTGCTCAATCGCCCAGCAGAGGCGGTGGTTCCATCGGGTGATCGTATCGCCGTACCTACCCTTTCCGGAGGGGACCAACCTTTTAATATAAACAAGCTCCCGGTGATTGCGATGAACACCGTGCCAACATCTTCCACGGGTTCCAAAGCTTCTAAAGTCGGCTCCTCAGGAACTTCCAGTGGACTGGTGCACACAACATCCTCACTTGAGAATGCTGAAAGGCACCCATGTCTTAGGCTTTGGGGTAGCTGCCAGCATGGCGGGACGTGTTTGTTTCGCAACGCACCCTTTGATTTGTGTCTGGCTTATCTCATGGGACTGTGCAGAGGCGAAGAGGAGCCCAATGGTGTCCCTAGCGGCAATGAGAATACTACCAAATGCCCGTTCCTTCATCAAACGATTTACGACCTTCCAAACAAAATGAATCCACCACCGATGCTAAGGCATGAGAATGATCTAGACGACGAAGAAAGCGTGTGGGCGCAGTGGGTTCGTCGTCGGAAAAATAGTCTTAATAGTGCGGAATGGCAGTTGTGGAATAACGGACCTCTGGAGGGATTGTTTGACCTGTACGCACCTGTGACGGTCCAGGAGAAGGCGACAGGGGGGGACAGAGATAAGGGGTATGAGAACAGCGGAGCAGAGATTAAACTTAATTTTTCGGATATCATGGCTGCCTTGAGTGAGATCAAATAAAGCATGTTCTACTTTCTAAAAAAGGGTGTCAAAATCTATGCTGTGTATAAGTAATGCACGTTATCTTAACGTAAGTATTACGATTTGGCTTGAGGGTGTTCCATCATATTCTTTACTTGCACGCACACACATGCACAACACCGCCTAGCGTTATTGTGTGTTGAACGTTCAGAAAGTCTCTTTTATGCTTTTTTACACCATCTTTCTTTCTCAATTAGCAGTGACATCGTGCACTTTACGAGAAGTGTAAAAAGGTAAATAACATAGTATGCACCATACAATTTGTCGATTACATTCTTTGAATAGTGCTCGTCGGAGCTTAGCAACGTCATTCTATAGTTTTTACCTCCATCTATCACATCTTCATTGTCAGCACTCTACCCATTGCTTTTTCTCAACAAGCACCTTTACCGCACCGCCCGATCCTACTGCTAGCCTTGTCTCAGGAGGACAAGCCAGGTGGGAAAACTCTTTTCCATCTTCTCTTGGTATATCAGAAACGTCAAGTGAGGAATACAAAGCCATATGCCGTGATCTTGCTCTTCTATCCCGTGATGATTTTTCACGACGTTTGCATCTTTTTAGTCGCAATAACTTTGACAGCAAGCAGCGCCTGCTGCTTCATGCGCACTTGATGGAGCTGTATCAGAGGCGCCTGTCAAGCATGACGGATAAGATTATCCACGATTACCTCCGCTTGGCATACGTGGCTGGGCTTCATGAACTGTGTATCGCTATTTATCATGCACGACATCAGTTGGACCTTCATCAGGACCAGATTAGTCCTGATAGAAGGGTAAGGGATGCTCCTGGGGAGACAAATCCGTCTGCACATTTTCCGATATCAGGTCAGAATGGTAATTCCATTGGGATTACAGATGCGTCTTCGCTATCAAAAGGAGTCAAGAGTGTTTTTGTGGTGTCCGAGTACATTGTTGATAGTGCATACATCCTGCGACATCATACAGAGCTGGTGAGACTGGCGTTCCACAGTAGTCGCTATCTACGCGAATGTGCGGCGACATCATCTGTTTCACCTGAAACAATGACTTATTTTTCCCTCCTGCGTTGTTTCTGGCGCACGGTATGCCTCTCGGAGGCTTTTTCTAGGGAGGAGGCCAACAGTGTCGATGGAGGCGCCAAAGGTGTTGGTAGCAGCAAGCAGGCACTTGCTGACGCACGCTACATCATGGAGCACCACGTGGTTTCACTCTTCCCTGCAAACAATACTATGACTGACTCCTCACGAAGCGAGATGCTGGATTCTTTTCTTCGAAGCGTCCAGCGCATGGTAAAGTATGACTCTAGTGGTGATAGTGGTGAGATGCTTTTCTTCAAGCGTTGCCTTGAGCTTGGGCTGTTCAACAGGGTATTGGATAATCACCCATCTGCTCAAGCAAGGAACAGGAAGGATAACGTGGAGTCTAAAGACAGTAGCCCAGATATGCCAGTCGGGATGCTTGCTCGTGATGAATATGAACACGATGATGAAAGAGGAATCCTACGCACAGGAGTAGACTTATCTATTCTCACTACTCCGGCTACATTGTCTTCCACTAGTGGGGTCGAATTTTTGTATGCTCATCTCATCAATACGTGCGCCGCTGGTAAACACACTGTAAAAGCGATGTCCTACCTAGATTCCGCTCGGAAAAGTCTTGGTTTGCCACCTATTTTTATTGGTGGACTGGATGGAACGCAGGGAGGCTTCTTGGTTGGTGAAATCGCTAACGAGAAGCTCAGTGACGTGAACGGCTCAGGTCTGTCCAGCGTGCCGTATCGATTAACCTCGACGCAGGGTGATGTTTCTGGAGCTGAGCAAGTATCAGTCTCCGAATATGTCTTGTATCGCCTTCTCAACGTCTTGCAGATCACCCGTGATAACCGCCACATCATTGAGGTGGCGCGCACGATGATAGGAGAATGTGGTGCCAGCAGCATTGGCATCAGTGTGTGGAGCATTTTTCTTGTGGCCGCTGGCGAGGTTCGTGCGACGGATGTGGCCCTTGAGGCGTATCACATCGGTCGGAGTCGCCTGCACCACAGCGGAGAGGTGGCGATGTCCCCTAGTGTGCGCCAAAGGTATGAGTACCTGCTTCAAACTTCGCTAAATACCCTTTCGAAATGTCAAGTGAAGGACTTTGAGCTACATTATCTGCTCCCATGCCAGGAGTCCGGCCTCCTGAACTGTACCGAGGAGTTTTACTTTTGTTGCCTACTCCAGGATGCCCACAACTCGTTGGATCCAGTGGGACAATGCAGGGCCATTCGAAATCGCATGAATGATCGCGATGTGGCGCTCACTGTTGGCATTGTATCACGATTGCTGAAGCTCTACCTGCGAGTGGAGTCAGCGGAGTTCTTTCAAACCTATCGCTATGCAGTGCAGGACTTGAAGCTTTTCAGACCTGCTTGGCTGGACTCGCTCTTGTTATGGGCCGACCGCCGCAGGTACTTTCTGACACAGGAGGAGCGTGCCTACATTATAAATGAAGTACGGCGAGTAAAGGGCAACCTTAAAGGTAGCGGCGCTGATAACGGTACTAAACATAATTACGACATCAGTAGCGCGTTGTTGAGGAGTTTGTTAGGTGGATTGCGCACCCAGTACGCTTTGATCGAGTATGATTACTATCAACAACCACTCAAGCACTTTCTAAATCATCGAGAGCCCCCTCTTGTGGAACCAACGTTGTTGGACTCTCGCATGCACTTTTTACTCAAAAAGCCGCTCTGTGTGGTACAGGGGCTTGCAGGGACGCCTAGCGGAGTTGACGGAGAGTCACCGCTGTCTATGATTGCGGACCCTGTGCGTAGGATGGAAATCTCATGCCGTGCATCTCTTCTCGGGCCACCACCTTTGCTATTAAGAATTGCTTCTGCTGGTGATAATGATAATGATCAAGACAATGAACGATCCTGTACCTCGCTTGGTAGCCATCCTGACACTTCCATATCTATAACGACCAGCGGTCCAGAGGTACAATGGCAAGAAGAGGCCTTTCGAGTGTATTTGTCCTACATGTTGGAGGGGTTACAGAGATCGAGGAACTTTATGTAATGCAAAGGTCCGCTGTGTCCTTTGTTTTTGCCATACCTCACGCGCATTTCCAGGGAAAACCATATTCATTTTGCGACCGAATAACTTTATTTCTTTTAGTAGGTAGAAATTATGCGATTGAGGCGGTTACTGGACCTTTTTATTTTTCGATTTCGCTTCATCATGATTATACATCTTTTCTTTTCTCTTTTGAGTTGACCAGAATCTAGTCCCTCCATGACACTTAGCTAGATAAAGTAAAAAAATAGCAACTAATAGCATACTCATCGAATTGTGCTTTATTGCGCGTAAGAATAGCGAGACCTCTCTAGTCCTTAAAGTCTTTCTATAACTCTGGCAGTGTGGGGATAATCTATGTCGGATCGCGATGACGAGGATGATCGCCTTAGCCTTAACTTTGGCGAAGATCAAGATGACGAGCCCGAACTCAGCGACATAGATCGCGGTGAGGATGTAAACGATGATGGAGAAGCTAATGAACAGGATCCCGAGCTTATCCCAGATGAGGTTGCCGCCAATGTTATTCTCTCCGGAAGCGCGCAGGCTGCCAAGGGCACGGTGCCACGTAAACCCGCGGATCGCGTCACGGCACCGGTGCTCACCAAATACGAGCGCGCTCGTATACTCGGGACGCGCGCACTGCAAATCAGTATGAACGCACCTGTCCTTGTGATGATCGAGGGTGAGACGGATCCCTTGACAATTGCGCAGAAGGAACTGCGTGAGCGCGTAATACCCCTCATCATCAGACGTATTCTACCGGATAATACCTACGAAGACTGGGCGATCTCAGAGCTGGATGTGGACTTTGATCGTCCTGTGGATGAGCGTTATACTAATTTGTAGTCCTGATGTGTGGATAACTTTGGCGGAGTGTGTTGAGAGTCTGACCTGAAAAAAGAATGACGGCTAATGTTAAGAAATACCTCCGATAATGCAGAGTTTTAACCCAGCTCCCATTATATAATATTACCTTGATTTGAAAGATAGGATATATCCTGATTTTTCTTTCACAACGGGGGATGTAACTATAATTCTAAAAACTATGCTTGTGTGACCTTTACATATTGTGATTTTTATCTTTACGCAATTTTATTGCTTAGTTTACACCTTTTTGTTTCACAGTACATTTAGAATCAGAATTATTCTTAGAGAGATCAGTTATCGTTGAGCACTCCTGTTTCCAAGTGATTCTCCGATCCACCTTCAGCGTATTGTACCGAATATACTATTGGATTTTGCTTATCTTGTGGAAGGAAGGACGATACTTGGTGAGGTTCTGCGGATCGTTCCCTTTCCCTAAGGGGTGAACCGTTTGCAGAGCGTATTGTCTGCCGTTGCAATGTGCATTTCATTTCTATTTTTCAGGAGATATCACCTATGAAAAAAGTATGGGTAGAGTGAAGAGGGCCATACTCACGATTCGGCTTGAGATGAATCTGTAAGCTGATGTAAACAAAGCAGCAGTATGAAATTTTGTCATAGCATCTTTGTTACCGCAAAGATGCACAGATGTATGCCAAAGGTGAGTTTTCAAAAGGACAGGATTTTTATATTATTATTATCAGTATTTTTATGTTTCATCAAGTTCTTGAGTACGGGTGCAAGGAGAGATGGAAGTAGGTAAGGTTTAGTAGAAAATAATCACGCTGGCAAAGCGTAAGCCGCTTTTTCGAATCTTTTCCGAGAATTTGCATCCTAAATGGGCACCTGATAATTCATAACATTGTTCATTTATATTTATTGCTTTACTCCATATTTTTTTACCTTTTTTGATCAGTGTTCCAGAAGGAAAGAATTAAACAAATTTTATTATTTTCCCATTATTAATGGTATCTTTTTTTAATTTAATAAACCTCTAGAATAGTAGGCTTTATGGGCTATAAACTTTGGCATGGGGAGTTTGTGGGCTAAGGAGGGAATAAGTCTTTACGCCCTTAGTTCTCTTTTAAAAATTTGTTTGATATGCTAAATCGGAATGCTCCATTATTTTATTGTATAATTATCAGCAACTTCACTGGTATTGGAGAGGAACTTGTGTGCGCTATCAATATCTATGATGTTGTCCTTATTTCCTCTTCACTAAGCTTTACAAAGAAGTCCAAAAAGTGTATTTATTTTATCTATGGATTCGTCTGCACCAACAAAGCAATGCCTTCAAAGACTACAGAAGGAACTACGTGCCCTCCAGAAGGAGCCCAATAACTACTTCGTCGCTGCCCCAGACCCACGTAACATATTAATATGGTGGGTGCGCATCGCCGGCCCACCTGATACTTCGTACGCTGGTGGCTACTATCTTTCGCAAATTAGGTTCCCCAGCGATTATCCGTTCAAGCCGCCTAGTATTAAGATGTGCACCCCTAACGGTCGCTTTAAAACTGACACAGACATCTGCCTTTCCAACAGTTCTTTCCATCCTGAGGAGTGGAGTCCGATGTGGAGCGTCAACACCATCATAACTGGTATGATTTCTTTCTTTGTATCTGAGGAAGAGGCAATGGGAACGCTGAAAGCATCTGAGGCGGAACGTAAGAATTTCGCAAAGGGGAGTCGAGCTTACAACGTGAAACGCCTCGGAACTTTCTACAAGCGTTCCCTACCGGAGGCCTATGCAGAAGATTTTAAGTACATAGAAGAGGAAGAAAATCGTGAAAAGCACCTACCTGAATATGAAAATACAGGGGGTGGGGCGAGATCTCGAAAAAAGAGTGCCAAACTGCGAGAAAAGGAGATTCTTTGTAGTTTAGATGTCCAACAAAATCCTTCTGCTAAGGTTCAACAAGATATGAAACCAGTAGAATCGTCAATAGGCAGTGGCAGTGACATTCTTAACACATCTTTGCATTCAGCATCGGACCTAATAAGCTTAGATAACAACAAACATCTGCCAGAGGATACGATGTCTTCGAGCTGGCGTAGTTTGGCAGTTGCGGCAGTCATAGTGGCGGCTGCGCTAGGTTGGTTTTGCTGTATTAGAGACCATTAACTAATCATTTTTTTCACAAATTAGCTTACCAATTGAGCTAGATGTCACTTGAAACGTTAAATCTCATCCATATATGCAATTAGAGAGAGAATTGCAACTTGGAAAAGGACGGTACTTTTTAGGTACTCGATATTTTTGATGTGGAAAACAAGAGGAACATAAATTTAACTTTTTAAATATGCTGTAATTGGATCTTTTCTACATTTTTTCGTATCCGAGCTTTCCTTAACTTTGCTTCATCATGTACGCAGCCTTTATGTGATACCACTGACGAACTAGCAATACGCCTCATTTCCTTAGGTC